CGACTTCATTCGATTCATTCGTTCCTTTCACAGAGACCTCATGGATAATACTACGACGCAAAAATATTGGATCGACGTGCAGCTGAGATGGGGAGATTACGATTCCCATGATATCGAACGATACGCTAGAGCCAAATTCTTGGATTATACGACGGACAATATGTCCATTTACCCATCACCAACGGGATTATTAATCGCTATTGATCTGGCATATAACTTACATAGGTATATAGGTCCAGAGTATTGCTATTCAATCGTAAATTGTAATTGGTCGTTCGCAGTAAATCGAGGCATAATCTTCGACTACATTCTCCTTACTTGAACGCATTTCTCGAAAGTTAAGTCGATAATTTCAGATACGCGACAGATTCGATCGTTGCTTAAAAAGCGGATCTATCGTTCTAATCGGATACGATATCTGTAATTAAACTGTAATTAAAAATTTCCAATCAACGATCGCAGGGAGAGACCTCGTCACAAACGAACTAATCCAATTTTGTTCATTTTCACAGCGCCTACGGTAACTGGTTCCCAGGATGTAAACCTCTCATACAGCAAGCAATGGCAAAAATTATGAAGGCTAACCCTGCTTTATACGTATTGCGAGAACGTATTCGAAAGGCGTTGCAACTTTATTCGTCAGAGCCTACGGAACCCTATCTATCTTCGCAGAATTACGGGGAGCTTTTTTCGAATCAAATTATTTGGTATCTTGATTCTCTCTCGCATATTTTCACTCACGTACGAGGCAAAAATATGTATTTACACGAGGAAATTTTCATCGATCGACTTTTTTAGGTTTGTCGACGATACTAATGTTTATCGTGTCACGATACATAAAACGTTCGAGGGGAATTTAACGACAAAGCCTATAAACGGGGCAATCTTTATTTTCAATCCCAGGACCGGCCAGTTGTTTTTAAAAATTATTCATACTTCTGTTTGGGCTGGTCAAAAGCGTTTAGGTCAGGTACGTACAACTGTAATAGAAAGATTAACGTTACGATGAGAAAAAAAAAAAAA